TGTTAAAAATTTCATTAGATGAAGTGTTGACACTTAACTCAATGATTATTATGGTAGAAAAAAATATATATATGCCAAAAATTGATGGCACATAACAACAACAACAACATGCCAAAAATGAGTTATTTATATAATATTTATATGATAGTTTATGAAACTATTACTTCATGTATAATCCCAATCCCACACCGATATTTGAAAGCACTTAACTCTGGAAGACCTAGAACAAGCTATCCCCAAAGTAGTAAAGTAAAAGTAAAGTTGTACCAAAATTCAGCATGCACCTGCTGTTTGAGGGACTAGGTCCTGGTGGTATGATTTCTGGGAAAGCATGTCATGCAAACAAACAAACAAATCAGATATCCAGATATTTAAATTCTCAACTGATTACTGATATCCAGTGAAAGTTTCTGAGCATATTTCTCAAATGTTCACTTTAGCACATGAATTATTGAAAATGGAAATTAACATGAAATTGACAAAGAGTTCAGATGTAACTTCTAGAGATCCTTGTTTGTTAAGGATACCAAGGAATAGGAGCTCTGGTGGCATAATGCCTAAGGCATTTGACTGCTAATCAGAAGGCTGGTGGTTCAAACCCATCAACCACTCCTCAGAAAGAAGTTTGGGCAAAGGAATAGAGAGAACCAGTTACAGGAAGAAAAACTATGGGACCAAAATCACAATTTAATCATGTAATCAATTGCAAGTTTAAATAGAAAAATACTAGTTAATATTTACTTAGCACTCTGCTTGACACGATGTATTCCTGATGAGTATGATTTTACTTCATTTAGTACCTGCTGAGAGAGGTACTGATATTATTATATTTCTTTTATAGATGTGGAAATTAAGGCATAGGGAGCTCCAAAGTTGCAAGATAACTAAGTAATGGAGCTGAGATTAGAATTTGGATGTTTGACCCTCAACCACCACTACTAAACACTATTCTGGATGAATAAGTCATGATTCTTTTCCCTCAGAGGCATGTAATTTAGCTGGAAAAGTGCTAATTGATTGCATATACAATTAACATATAATAATTAATTACATATACAATCACATTTAACAAGCCATATCAAGGGCTGTCACAAGGAAGTCAAATTTATCGTTAAATAAATTATAGAGACAGAGAGTGCTATTTTTTCAGAAGAAAGAAAAGAAATACCTTATTGAATTGGTCAAGGATGGCTGAATGGAGGAGGTGGCATATATATAGAATGTGGGAATTATTGAACAATATCACTAATATCACATCCAAGTAAACTTTTGCTGAAGATAATTCAAAAGCAATTGCATACAGGGAACTTCCAGAAATTCAAGCTGGATTCAGAAGAGGACCTGGCATGAGGAATATCATTGCTGATGTCAGATGGCTCTTGACTGAAAGCAAAGACTACCAGAAAGATTTTTACCTCTATTCTATTGACTGTTGTTATTGTTATGTGCCCTTGAGTCGGACCTGACTCATAGTGACCTGTCCTTGGGTTTCCGAGGCAGTATCACTACGGAAGTAGATTGCCCCATCTTCCTTCCAAGGACTGACTGGCGGGTTTGAACCGCCAGCCTTCTGGTTAGCAGTCAAGTAAGTGCCTAAGGCGTTTTATTGACTATGCAAAGGAATTTGACTGTGTAGATCATAACAAATTATGAATAATATTGTGAAGAATGGGAATTCCAGAACACTAATTGTGTTCTCATGTACACACTCAGCATTTCTCAAGCTGAAAGAATTGAGGAAAAAATTTAAGCCTCGAGTGGCAATATTGAAAGATTCTATGGGTAAAATATTGAATGATGCAGGAAGCATCAAAAGAAGATGGAAGGAATACACAGAGTCACTGTACCAAAAAGACCTGGTCGATCTTCATCCATTTCAGGTGGTGGAATATGATCTGGAACTAATGGTATTGAAGGAGGAAGTCAAAGCTGCAATGAAGGAACTAGCAAAGAACAAGGGAATTGACAGAATACCCATTGAGATATTTCAACAAGCGTATGCCGCACTGGAGGCACTCACTCGGCTATGCCAAGTGATTTGGAAGACAGCTACCTGGCCAACTGACTGGAAGAGATCCATATTTTTACCCATTCCAAAGAAAGGTGATCCCACAGAATGTGGAAATTATCGAACAATATCATTAATATCACACACAAGTAAGATCTTACTGAAGATAATTAAAAAATGGTTGCAGCAGTATATTGACAGAGAACTTCCAGAGGTGCAAACTAGATTCAGAAGAGGACGTGGAACAAGGGATATCATAGCTGCTGTCAGATGGATCTTGGCTCAAGGCAAAGAATACCAGAAAGATGTTTACTTGTGTTTTATTGACTATGCAAAGGCATTTGATTGTGTGGATCATGACAAATTATGGATAACATTGAGAAGAATGAGAATTCCCAAACACTTGATTGTACTCATGAGGAACCTGTACATTGACCAAGAGGCTGTCATTTGAACTGAACAAGGGGACACTACAGGGTTTAAAATCAAGAAGGAAATGTTTCAGGGTTGTTTCCTTTCCCCATACTAATTCAATCTATTTGCTGAGCAAATAATCTGAGAAGCTGGACTATATGAAGGAAAATGTGACATCAAGATTGGAGGAAGAATCATTAACAACCTAAGATATGCTAATGATACAACTTTGCTTGGTGAAAGTGAGGATGAATTGAGGCACTTACTAATGAAGATTGAAGAATACAGTCTGCAGTATGGATTACATCTCAATATAAAGAAAACAAAAATCCTCACAGCTAGACCAATAAGCAGCATCACGATAAATGGAGAAAAGATTGAGGTTGTCAAATAATTCACATTGCTTGGTTCTACAATTGATGCCAATGGAAACAGCAGTCAGGACATTAGACGATGTGTAGCACCGGGCAGGTCAGCTGTGAAGGAACTGTTTCAAGTGCTGAGGAGCAAGGATGTCTCCTTGAGGAGTAAGGTGCGCCTGACATAAGCCATGATATTTCCAATCGCCTCGTATGCATGTGAGAGCTGGACAATGAATAAGGAAGACTGAAGAAGAGTTGATGCTTTTGAGTTGTGGTGCTGGCGAAGAATGCTGAAAGTATCATGGACTGCTAAAAGAACTAACAGATCTGTCCTGGAGGAAGTGCACCCAAAATGCTCCTTGGAAGCAAGAATGGCCAGACTTCATCTCACCTGCTTTGGTCATGTTGTCAGAAGGGACAATTCCCTGGAGAAGGATGTCATGCTTGGTAAGGTGGAGGGTTGATGAAAGAGGGGAAGGCCTTCAACGAGATGGATTGACATGATGGCTGTGACAATGGGCTCGAGTATAGCAAGGATCATGGAACTGGCGTGGGATAGGGTGGTGTTTCATTCTGCTGTGCACGGGGTCACTATGAGTTGGAAACAACTCGACGGCACCTAACAAAAATTGTGTTCATGAGGAATTGGTACATAGACCAACAGGCAGTCATTTGAACAGAACAAGGAAACACTGCATGTTTAAAATTAGGAAGGGTACGCATCAGGGTTTTATCCTTTCACTATACTAATTCAATCTGTATGCTGAGCAAATATTCCAAGAATCTGCATTATATGAAGAAGAATGTGGCATCAGATTTGGAGGAAGGCTCATTAACAACCTGAGATACGCAGATGACACAACCTTGCTTGCTGAAAATGAAGATGACTTAAAACACTTACTGATGAAAATCAAAGACTACAGTCTTTAGTGGGAGCTCTGGTGGTACAGTGCTTAGGCATTTGACTGCTAACCAGAAGACTGGCAGTTCAAACCCACCAGCCACTCCTTGGAAGGAAGACTGGGCAATCTACTTCCTTAGTGATACTACCTTGGAAACCCAAGGAGAGGTCTCTATGAGTCAGGATCAACTCGACCACAATGAGTTATGTTTTTTTGTTTTTTTGTTTTTTGGTACACCTGAACATAAAGGAAACAAAAATCTTCACAACTGGACCAGTAAGCAACATCACAATAAATGGAAAAAAGATCGGAGTTGTCAAATATTTCATTTTATTTAGATCCATAGTCAGCATCCATGGAAGCTGCCATCAAGAAATCAGAAGTTGTATAACACTGGATAAATCTGCTGCAAAAACCTCATCAAAGTATTGAAGAGCAAAGATGTTACTTTGAAAACTAAGATATGCCTAACCCAAGCCATGGTATTTTCAATCACCTCATATGTATGTGAGAGCTGGACAATGATTAAGGAAGAACTGATGGCTTTGAATTATGGTGTTGGTGAAGAATACTGAAAATACCATGGACAGCTAGTAGAACAAACAAATCTGTCCTGCAAGGACTGCAGCTGGAATGCTCCTCCTTAGAAGCAAAGGATTGCCAAACTTCATCTCACCCTCTGTAGTCATGTTGTCAGAAGAGACCAGTCCCTGGAAAAGGATAATATGCTTGGCATAATGGAGGATCAGAGTAAAAGGGGAAGACCCTCTATGAGATGGATTGACAAAATGACTGCACTGGCCTCAAGCATAACAAGTGTTGTGAGGATGGCACAGGACTGGGCAGTGTTCTGTTGTACATAGGGTCACTATGAGTCAGACTTGATGGCTCAAGGAACAATGACAACAGCTATGAAGAAGAGAAAGAGGTAAATACCTTGGCCACCAACATGAAAGGTAACTCAGAACACTTGAGTTCAGTTCTACATCAGCTGCTAATCCGCTAGGTGGCGCTGGACAGAGTGCTTCCTCAAAAATTAAGTTAGTCTTCACCCTGTGAACCTTCCAGGATCTTGTAAAACTCAAATGAGATCCTAGCTATTAAAGGTGCTTTCTAGATGTACAGTGCAGTGTAACCATGTTGTGCAATAATTATGCTCCTTTTCACTCTTCTATAAAGGCATTTTCAGAATACTATAATGTCAATTAAGCTAAAATCATGTGAATACTAACCTCTGTGTCTTCTTTCTTTCTTCTTTCCCAACTTCTACTTGACTCTTCCTCATCTGTGGCTGTTTTCTCTTTCAACTTAAAGTGGCTGTTCATCTGTCTCCAGCTTCTTCCTGCTCTTCTGCAATAGACCAGTTCCTGTCTAACTTTGAACATGCTCTGTAAGTCTGTCACTGTGTTGTGAGTCAGTCTGTGTCTGTCCATCCATTTCTTCCTACAAAGTGTGTTTGATTTCTGTTTATCTTTCTGTCCTCACTGGATGAGGTTGAGGATGGATGTACATGAGAACATCACAGCTGTTGGCAGAGACCTACCAAGCCAAAATTCCACCTGACCTTGATTCCTATTGACCTGAAGCCCAAAGGTTCATATGGTTTGAGGAGCTTTGTTTTATTTTAAGGTATCCCTAGGTGGCACAAGTTGTTATGTGTTTGACTACTAGTGGAAAGTTTGATGGTTTGAACCAACCCAAAAGCACCTATGAAGGCAAGCCCAGAGATCTGTTCCAAAAGGTCACAACCTCAAAAACCTTATGGTGCACAGTTTCTACTCTGCATATGTGGGATAACCATAAGTCAGAATCAACTCAATGGCAACTCAACTAACAACAGCCAACAATAATAACCAACAAAAAACAACAACAAAAAATAACATTTTATTTTATAATCTTTAATTTTAAAATTGTGCTTTTGGCTTCTTCTCTGTTCTGTAAACACAACTTCTCAAGTCTTCATGGAGATGAGTGCTGTGATAGAGCGAAATATATAATCACATTTTTCAGTTGTTCTCATCTGTTTCTCCCCAATGTCCCACTTCACCCTGTAGCTAGAAGCAGTATACCCCTTCATACTTCTTAAAACAACTATTATTAATAAATCAGCTTTTTATGTTTATTTTGTTTTAGCCTTTCAAAAATTTTGTTTTGAAACAATTTTATATCCATGGAAGATTTACAAAGATAATACAGAGTTCCTACGTACTTTTCACTCAGCTTCTCCTAACGTCAACATTTTACATAGCCCTGGCATTTTTCTCAGAACTTGAAAATTAACATTGGTCTAATACTACTAACTAAACAACAGATTTTTCTTTTTATTTCTCCAGTATCAAATCAGGTTTTGAGTAACTTGGTTCAAAAATTGTCATTTTGAATTTAAGTTTTCCTACACTATAATAATGCATTTCGGGCATGTTTGAAATACTTTCCTCAGCATGGAATGGTACCAGTTCATTTGGTTGTGCTGATTTTTAAACTTTGTTTGCTTTCTTTCTCTTTGCCTCAGTCAGTTCGCTTGCTCTCCCTCCCTCTCTCTCTCTCTCTCTCTCTTCCCCTTACAGTCAAGTGTCTACTAATATCATTGTATGTTTACTTTCTCCTGCTAGTCTGCTAGTGTGTGGAAGAAGAGTCTTCCTTCCCACAGTTGCGTGCAAACTGAGTTTAAATATTCTTTGAAATAAGGTCTGGGAGGCTATAAGGGGAAAAATAAGATAGATAGATAGATAGATAGATAGATAGATAGATAGATAGATAGATAGATAGAAAGATAGATAGATAGATAGATAGAAAGATAAATAGATAGATAGATAAACATTTCTGCATAGTTGAGGGCCCTGATTGACTTTTGATTATGTGAAGTGTTAGTGAAAGACTTGCAGAAAACGTACATGTAGGGTTTTTTTTTCTTTTCTTTTTTTTAAGACAAATAGAAACCCTCACCCCTCCCAATAGCTCACTTCCTCATGTCTCAGGCTTTCCTGAAATGATGACCTAAGGGCAAAAATTCTTACCTCCATGACCTGCACTGTTGCATCCTTGTCCCTCCATACATATTCTTTCTTTGATTCCATGAGACCTTCTCATCCTATACCAGCTGGAAAACATCCCTTTTTCATCCTCAGATTTCCCAGCTCTTCTGCTAGTGAATCCCCTTGGGAATGACCCCCTCATGGTGTGATTTTTGGTTTCAGGGAGGCTTTCTCAGTGTCCTACTCATAAAGCAATCAAAAGCCAGAAATACTCACATCAGAGGTTTGAGGGGGACTGCCACGTTTCCTGCCCCCATCCTCCTGCTAGAAACAGGCATTGAATAGAGAAGAATGGAAAGAGACATCACAAATGCAGAGATTACCTGAGTAGTACCACAGATAGGGCTATCATGAAGATCAGTAGAAGAACAGTTGCCAGCATTCTTTGTAGTTGATAAAAATGTCAGACAAGATGAGGGGAAGATTAACTCATTCTGTTATCCATTCAGTAAATATTTCTATAGATTTGTGCTATTTGGCACACTCTGTGAGGTGTGAGCTATATATTGTTGTTATGTGCCTTTGAGTCAGACCCAACTCATAGTGACCCCTCCTTGGGTTTCCAAAGCAGTATCACTATGGAAGTAGATTGCCCCATCTTCCTTCCGAAGAGTGGCTGGTGGGTTTGAACCGCCAGCCTTCTGGTTAGCAGTCAAGTGCCTTAGGCACTATGCTACCAGAGCTCCTGTGAGCTATATAGCAAATATTAAAAAATGAGTTTGAAAACAACTAATAGCATAAAGGACTTTGGATTATAGTGCACTTGGGTTCAAATCCAGCTGTGCTAATTGCTAACTGAGGGACCTCTGGCAAGTTACTTAATCTCCTTGTGTTTTAGTTTCCTCCTCTGTGCATATAGGTATATGATAAAAGTACCAACATGATGGAGCATTACAAGCAATTATATTGCAATAATATTTTAAAAACACAGGATCTGGTAGAAAGTTCTAAAAAAATGTTGCCTCTTATAACAAGATATGGACTCAGCCTTTCAGAAGTGTCAGAAGACTAAATATAAGCCCAAACAGATCCCTTATGTTAGCATATATTTTGTGACCCTACAGACAGTAAATAAGGATGGATAATGCAGAAAAGCTTCTAATAGGAGATGTGTATTTATCTGGGTCTTAAAGCGTGGGTCAAATGTGGATGTGACAGAGTGAGAAAAATCACTGTAGACTCAGAAGTTAGAGATCATGATGGGTCATTTGTCATTTAGAATGTCATTTGGCCTTGTAATCTAGCATCAGAAATTAACTAATTTCAGAGGCAATAAGAATCACTATCAGCATAGAGCCAATTCCTACGAGATGAATGTCAGACTTATTTCTACTCCCCAACTTTTTACCACAAGTGTGCTGACTTGTGGGCTTTCTCTCAGCCTGTGCCCAGCTTGGGCAGGGGTTATAGCTCTTTAGCTCCATGACAAGTGCCCGGAGGCACCCCACTCTACCAGCAAGCCTCCTGCCCCAAAGCTTTCAGTTCTCTCTCACTCTGTGGGTTAGCAAGTTCACTGCAGCCAATTTTCAAAGGTCTCCTAGTACCTGCCACTTATGCTTCTGCCACTGTTTCTCTGCCACTGGTACTACTGCTATCCTTATGTAACTCCTTGTCAATGTCAAGGCATGGTCCTCCCACCAGGACCATGAACTGACCAATCCACTTGGTAGACCACAATCACTTTATTTGCACAGCAATCACTGATTCCCACAAGGTCACTTAATAGTGATACCGCTTTGGAAACCCAAGGAGGGGTCGCTATAAGTCAGGTCTGACTCAATGGCGTATAACAACATTTGTATAGTAGGAGCTCTGGTGGTGTAGTGCCTAAGGCATTTGACTGCTAACCAGAAGGCTGGTGGTACAAACCCACCAGCCACTCCTCGGAAGGAAGGTTGAGCAATCTACTTCCATAGTGATACTACCTAGGAAATCCAAGGAGGGGTCTCTATGAGTCAGATCCAACTCAATGGCAGTGAGGTTTTTTTTTTTTTTTTTTTGTATTTGTATAGTAGACTAACTAATTCTTTGCAAGATTGTGAACTAGTCAATTATTTTGGCAGAATTATAAACTCAAGTCTAGAAAGACCATATATAAGAGACACCCTTGCACCACAGGCCTATACACAGTAGAATGACTAACTAAAATTACCTAAAAGTATAAGGCCATTTATGAATTCACAAAATAAAAAGTTCAGAGTTTTCAGTCAATTGAGTTATTCAACAACGTTGTCAAGAACCCATGTGCTTTTTATCTTTTCATGCTGCTATCCTCAGCCTGTTAGTTTTTATCCAAAGCTGGACTCCATCATGGTCACAAAATAGCTGCCACAGCTCCAAACATTACATCCTCTTCATTCTAAATGCTGGAAAGCAAAATAGATTCTCCTTACATACGTCTCTTATTCTGGAGCTAAACATTTTCCAGCGGACTTCTCTTGAAGATCTTCAGGTCCCTTTGGCCTGAGGTCCTCACATTAGCTGCAATGACTCTGGCATTTTTTCATCAATAAGAAACAGGCTCTGCCAGAAAGAAAGAAGAGGTTATGGGCATATACTTTCAGTGTTTTCCACAGGCTGTAAGTACATTCATGCTTCTTGAAGAAAAGCAAAGGGGACATTCATTGGAAAGATCTTTGGATCTCTCATGGAATCCCAGAACAGGAGGAAGTTCATTGACTTCACTGGAAGTAAAATAAGGAATAAGGGTGCTTTCAGAGACTAGAGTTCCTCTTGCCAATTCTCTGAACTTTTGCTTAGTCTTTGCTGCATATCAGCTTCATTATTATCTTTTCTATTCTTTTTTCTTCATCTCTTTCTTCTTTCTGGACATTGTCTTAGGCTAGGTTCTCTAGAGAAGCAAAACCAATAAATATATATATATATTTATATACAAAAAAAAAATTGAGTAGATTCTGATTCATCGCAACCCCCACTGGGTTTCCAAGGCAGTAAATCTTCACAGAAGTAGATTGCTTCATCTTCCTTCCATGGAGAGGTTGGTGTGTTTGAACTCCCAGCTTTCTGGTTAGCAGTCAAATACCATTCACATGACTCTAGAGGCTGGTGAGTCCCAAGTTCATGGGTCAAATGTCATGCTGGAGGCTTTTCCTAACTCACACAGCTTCAGGGGCTGACAAATCCAAGAAAGGCAGACAGTATAGCAGCCTGCTGACTTTATCAAATGACAAATCCAAGATCATCAGGTAAAATAGCAGATTGTTGGCTAACAGGCTTCCAAGGCAACAATTCCAAGATCGGCAGGCAATATGGCAGGCCACTGGTTCAGCTCCAAAACCCAGATGATAATAAGCTAGATGCAGGATACAGATCCAACAGAAAGCCCAAGAATTTT